TTTTTTTACAAAGAAGCTAAGACTATAAAGTGGGTAAAAGAAAGCTTCTTCAACAAATGGTGCTGGCATAACTGGATGTCAACATATAGAAGAATGAAAATAGATCCATATCTATCCCCATGCATAAAACTCGAGTCTAAATGGATCAAGGATCTCAATATAAAATCAACCATACTGAGCCTCATAAAAAAGAAAGTGGGAAGTGGCCTTGAATACATTGGCACAGAAGACCACTTCCTAAATATAACCCTGGTAGCAGAGACACTTAGAGAAACAATAAATGGGACCTCTTGAAACTGAAAAACTTCTGTAAAGCAAAGGATACAGTCAACAAGACAAAATGACAACTTACAGAATGGGAAATGATCTTCACCAACCCCACATCAGACAGAGGATTGATCTCCAAATTATACAAAGAAACTAAACATCAAAAGACCAAATAATCCAATAAAAATGGGGTACAGATCTAAACAGAGAACTTTCAACAGAGGAATCTAAAAAGGCTGAAAGACACTCAAGAAAATGCTCAGCATTCTTAATTATTAGAGAAATGCAAATCAAACAACTCTGAGATACCATCTTACACCTGTAAGGATGGCCAAGAGAAAAAACACTGATAACAACTTGTGCTGGAGAGGATGTGGAGTAAGGGAAATACTCCTCCATTGCTGGTGGAAGTGCAATCTTATATAGCCACTTTGAAAATCAATATGGTGGTTTCTCAGAAAATTGGGAATCAACCTGCCTCAAGACCCAGAAATAGTAAGAAAGAAAGAAAGAAAGAAAGAAAGAAAGAAAGAAAGAAAGAAAGAGGTATGAAGAGAGTTCTACTACCAATAGATGATATCCATGGTTACTGGGAACTCAAGACACAAAGGCTGGGGAATAAGGTCATGGCAGCTCTCACCAATGGTGGCAAGCCTCAAGGAGCAGAGAGGGCAGTCAACAGTCACTGGTTTACCATGCAGGAAGAACACAAAAGCAGTGTGGTTATCTAAGTCTTGTTAGCTCAGGCTGTCCCAGACAGACAGCATAGTAACTGAAGATCTTGGTGCAGTGAAACTGCTGAGCTCGTAGATCTGGGTGGGGCCTGAGAATCTGCATTCTAGCAAGCTCCCGCTAATCCTAACTTTGAGTCCAGACACTCAGGTCCAGTGACCTCTTGCTACCAGCAGTGCCTCCTCCTAAAGGTTCCAAATCTAAAATACCACCACCATCTGGGACAGGCTTCTAGAATGTGACCCTGCTGGGTCTGATCGAACCTTACATATAGAGTAAGTTTTCTCCTATAAAATAGTTTCAGAAGCTGTTCTGAACATGTAATTTTGCAGTTGCAGACTGTGTAAATGCGTGCTCTTTGACTTAACAGAAGAAGAACCCTTCTGCATCTGAACCCTCCCTGCCTCGGAGATTATCAATGACTACACTCCAGAAATTAGGTTTTCATCCCTGTGAAAACAAGCAGCAGTATTCTGAACAGCCCACATAATAAGCAATTTTCTAATTTAACTATTTCTATATTTAAATGAGGCTCTTTTGTCATGTGGGGCCATTCCCAATCACTGCTGGGACTATCACGGTAAAGGAAGTGGGCCACACCACTGCCCACTGGACCTTCCATCCCAGGGAAGGGGCTGAAGGATGCAATCAATAATAAACATGCAACGACCAAGATAATCTGCCAGTCTAGAGGGACGACCCACAGACAAAGAGCACGTGTCCTTACAGAGGACCAGAGTTTGGTTCCTAGCAACCGCGTGGTGGTTCAAAGCCATCTGTAACTCCAGTTCCAGGGGACCCAATGCCTGATTCTGACCTCTGTGGGAACCTGGCATGCATGTGGTGCACAGACCACAGGCAAACACTCATATACATAAAATAAGTGGAATTTAAAAAAATCTGCAGTAGCAACAAGCACAATCCCAAGGAATCTGGTGGGTGATATTTCAGTGAGGAGAAAGGCTTGCTTTCAGTTTGATCATCAAGGAAAATGCTCTTAGCATGGGCATTCTGAGTGAAACACCTGCTTTGCCTCCCACTCTCCTCCTCCCAGCCAACACGAGAGCATCCCTCCTCGCTCTGATACTCAAGTCTCAGATCTCAGGAGTGGAAGAACACAGCACGGTCATCCAGTTATCTTATTTCCGAGGAAAGTAGGACAGGGCTACCAGGCCTGGAAGATTCCAAGAGGTTGGACCACTGCGGCCTCCCTGGCATGTAATCAGCACTTTCTCCCCTCAGCCACAGAGCCTGGAGCACATTCTAACCAGCCCACGAGATTTTCATCTTGAGAAGAACACACTTTACCCTAAATTGGAGCTGAGAAAGTGAGAGTAAGTGTGTGCGAAAATGGTTCTGATTGCCCCGACAGATAGACATCGTCAAGTGACCTCCGAGAACAAAATGTGCTTGGAGGACACCGTTTAAAGAGATGAGCCAGGGCTCTCTCCTCTTGATTTCTGGGAAATGATCGTCCCCAGAAAGCATCAGCAGGGGAAAAATGATGGTCTGAAAATCATAGCTTTCTCCCCTTAAGAGCTGCCTGCCCCACCTCGCTTCCCACCATTGCCAGCTCCTTCTCAAAGCCATGCCAGGATCTCCTCTGATGAAAGTGTGTTATCTTTGTAATAGCTGAACTGGATTCGCCCATTTGAGACTCATTTCTTTTCACACCCACACGATCTATCGGCCCAGCTCAGGCCCTTAGCCCCATCTTACAGTTGGTACAAATTGGGCCTGAGGCTTGGAGAAGCTAAATAACCCTGCACAAATCTCTCTCTCTCTCTCTCTCTCTCTCTCTCTCTCTCTCTCTCTCTCACACACACACACACACACACACACACACACACACAGAAGGCCGGGTCAGGTAAACTCCAGCAGAACAGCAGTTTCTGATACTCAAGGACAGACACCCGAAGTCCCAGAACAAATCAGTCAAATGTGCTAAATGAGCAGTCATCCCTTCGTCCTCCCCACCTCTGAAACTGGCTTTTGGCTCAGCCTCCACACCCGACACCAGGGCCTTTCTCATTATGGCCATGCAGGGAACCAGGAAGATAGAGATCCTGTCTAACTCAGCTCTCACTATCAGCAGAACAAGGAATCTGCTCCTTCAGGACAGGCTGGGAACCCATCTGCCTCAAGAGCCACTGTCATTCTATGGCCATGTATTTTTTTAACAAAGCAAGTCACAGAGAGATACCCAAATTCAGGGGACAGGGAAGTGGGGTTCCATTTGGTGAACAACACTCCTAGGGAGGGTTCACCAACTCTCTTTTAGCCTCCGGGGCAAGGTGCAGGGTGTACTTCCCTGCTCCACCTGCCTTTGATCTTTCCTCCCCGCCTGTTGATCCTCCAGTGGGGTTTATTTGCTACTGAAAATGAGGCATCAGAGAGACCGGTCCTGCCTAACCCGGCCTCTCCTTTACCAATAGCTTTGCAGAGGGAGCGCCGAGGGCTTCCCAAGGTCTGCAGGGATCCAGATGCCGCTTTAGTTCCTTTAGCCTGCTGCTTGAAGTCGCAATAGACTTCAGGTCGCCTTGGAAGTCAGCATTAGCGGAAGGCTTCTATCTTCCTGATTGGACCTGAATATTTAAGATTTCAAAAGCTTGTCTGGGCCCAGATTTAATTTTGAAAGGAGAAGGAGGTTGCTTTTGAACTTCAAGAAGGCATTGGCAGCTCAGCAGGGGCTGCCTTAGCAAAGGAGAAAGCCAAAAGCCCCGTGGTCATGAAAGATACCGTGGAACAGCAAAGCTGCCTGTTGGTTAGCCTGAAATCAGGCTTCAGAAGCGGCACTGTTTAAACACTGTGTATACGGCTGGAGCTCCACTCCTTCCTCTGGCTGGATTTTAAATATTCCCTAATTTGATTACTCAGGGGACAAGCAAGCAGAACCAACTCAAATGAACTTCTCTGTTAATTATTCAGAGCTTTTTATTGTGTAATCGAACACCGAGTCTTACAAAAAGCTTGGAGGCACATCCTACCCCCACCCCAGCCTGGCTCCTCCCTTAGGGTCTGTTTCTTGTGTTAAGGTTGTGAACTGCTACATACCCAACAGGCCCTGCCTCGAGGGGCAGAAGAGTCCCTTTTCTTATTGGTGACAGCCTGTGGGTCTGCTTCTCGGAGCTCCACATCATGAGACACGAACCTTAAGTTCCGTTCATCTGACCATTGGAAGGGTTATGGAAACACACGCAACATAGCACATTCAAAAATGCCAACATGATAAATTTGGTGGCACTCTGTGAGGAAGGGAGTCACCCACAAAGCCTGTTGAGCTTTAGTCTTTATCCAGAAAGTTCCCAGACCATGAGGGAAGAATATGATGCTGAGGAGGAGGGCACTCTAATAAAAATAATTCAAGATCACAGATTAAGAGATGTACAGAACCCCGTGGCAGGGACCTGGGTGAGGGAGGGACCTGAAGTTCGGGTCCTTTCCTGATCTGCAGAGGGCAGGGCTAATGACTCTGGCTCAAGGTGGCAGCAATGGAGATGATTCCCTGAGAGCCCAGAAGCATCTGGTACAGAGTGCTCCAGTGACTCTGGTCACTGCGTGACTCTGCATGCCCACACCCATCCTCCCGGGACATCCGGCCTCACTGCGCTCTCAGATACTCTTAAGTGTTCCTGATGCTGGTGCCAGTGATGAGCGGGCAAGGCACAGATGCAGAAAGGAGGACACTTTCCTGTCCACCACCACCATAACCACAGCCTCACCCTGGACTCACTCCATAAAAGGGCCCAAGTCCAGAGCTCATGCAAATATACCTTGCCTCCCACAGTCCTCACCCAGGAAAGGGTGGTCTCTCTTAGCCTAAAAACCCCACCGATGCAGAACTGCTCCCCCTCCCAAAACAAAGCAGTAGGGGGAGAAAAATCATACTAGAGACTGTTCGTTCAGCCTGAATTTATTGTGTTCCTATAGGATGGGGGGGTGGGGCTTGTAATAAGCCAAGACTGCGAACTGAAAACTCATTAAAGCTGTTTGTCACACAGGGACCCGGGTGGCAGCAAGAGCACAATAAAGAAGATCAACAAGGACAAGTCCATGGGGCAGAGGTGGGATCACTTTGTCACTGCGCCAAAGGTAACCAGGAGCCACCCTACCTTGAGAGCCCAAGCCCCAGCCAGGGGGAGAAGCATGCATCCCACAGACAGTCTACCGTGGGAAAGGTTATTTATAAAAGTCTAGGTGATTTCCCAAGCAGAGGAAAAACCACATGCTACTGGATATTTTTTGTAAATTTTAATTAAAATAGTTATCTGGGGATTATAGGGAAAACGACATTTGGCCAGACACACTAGAAAGAGAGAGGAAAGGCGGGGATGAACACCTGTTACTAGAAAGAAACGGACTCAACTCTAGCTTTTAGTCAGTAGTCTCTGTCTGTCTGTCTCTCTCTCTGTTTCTCTGTCTCTCTCTCTGTCTGTCTGTCTCTCTCTCTCTCGTTTTCTCTCCCCATCCACTCACTATGTAGGATATTCTTCCAAGTCACATGTGTCTTCACTATTAAGAAGGTATTTTGAAGTCTGTTACCTTCAACCCAAGCTTTGCCCATCCCAATGCCCAAGGACATCTACTCAGTAAATGAGCACCCAGATAATAGAGACAACAAACAGACCTTTGTCTGCTTATGGAGAACACAGCTATGCAGCTGGGGTGGATATAGATCCTGTCCCTCACGCATAGAAACAATACAGTACCACCCCACCTACCGCACACAGTGCCCACCCCACCTACCGCACACAGTGCCCACCCCACCTACCGCACACAGTGCCCACC